CAAAGGCCAGGACGTGATGACGTCGAGAGGCGAGCGTCCTCGGGCGTCACCTCGCAGCCGGGGACTCGTTCAGTTCCCCCCTCTCCCCCAAGGTGGCGGTGGCACCCCGGGCCGGCGCGGCGCCCCGCGCCCCGCGCACTACGGGACGTTTCCCGACGCCCGTCGTAGACACGTACAGCGGAGGACGACGCGTCGGCGAACTCGCAGCCTTAACCAAAAGGTTTGACGGGAAAAGCTTCTTCCTTCAGGACGGGTTCTACCGTCCCCGCTGCAAACAAGGGGTGTGCTGCGTGGGCGAGACGGAGCTGCAGCGCCCGTGACGGCGTTTATGTCGCCGGTATCGTCATCGCGAGGACTTACGCCGAGGTGAAACCACAGACGCTTTCTCTCCCCGCGCTTCCGGCAGCGGTGCCGTGGTCCACGTCCTCCGTTGGGAGAGAGACGGCGGTTGCGGAGGGGTTTTGCGAGGGGTCCTCACAGGAGGGAGCGCTGCCGGACGAGCAAGTGCCAGCTGGAATTCCCTCCGCCACCCACTCCTGCCTCCAGAGACCGAACGCGGGCTTTTTGGACGGTGAGACTTTTATTTTTCAAAGAAATTCTGCAATTTCATCAACATCGCACAGAGACAGAACGAGACCCGTGTCGTCGCGGGTACTCGGCGCGCAGCGGCAGAGGAAAACACGATCTCCATTACAACTGCGGGTATCGCAAATTTACTCTGAAAAGAACAGCTTTTCCCCCAAAAGAAGCCACCAGGTGCCTGTAAATCGTATTCCAAGACCCTCCCAGGCAAAGGACCCCTCCCGGCCTGCGACACAGGCTGAAGGACGTTGCCCGCAAAGCCAGAAAATGATTCCTGAAGTCGGTAGATCCGTCAGCAAGCGCAGCATCGGTGTTCAACCGCGTCCTCTCCGAAGCACGGGGCCCGTCTATATCAGCGGGTAAGAGGCGTAACTGGCGATGCCGCAATGGTTCGCGTGGTTTCTCGCCATGCGGATGTAGCCCTCGTCACCAAAATGCACGCCCCAACTTTTGGGGACAGGAAAAAAACAAAACAAAACAAAAAAACAGACATGAGAAAAATTAAATTCCTTCGTCCGCAAGCGGCAGCTGTACCGACGTCACAGCATTGACGCGCTTTCCGTAACCGCTTCGCGGGACTCCCAATGCCGCGTTAAGTTACGACAACACTCGGCGACATAAAGGGAGCTTAAGGCGGTTAAAATACCCGTGGTTGGATTTTAAATGCATTGAAAGCTCCCTCACGCTGCCGCGACGACACAAAGGTGCTTGGACGCGGCCAAGCGCGCATCCTCGGGCAACGGTTTAAGCACCGACGCCAACTTTCAACTCTGCGACGACCCCCCTTGCGCAAGCGCCCGGCTCATCTCCCTCTCTCCGGCATAAATACCGGTCGCTGTAGAATTTCGTGGGCGTCAGTTTGAGCCGCGGCGGTGACCTGGGAGAAGCCCATCCCCACGGAGAGCGAGCCCCGCGGCAGCGAGAGTTCAGCCCTCCGCGGCCGTGCCGCTACCTGTTTTTCACGAGCCAGTAATCCTTATCGTTTAGGGTGCCGTAGCCGATGACGAGCACGCCGTGATTCACCTCCTGCGTGCACCGGGGGTCGTCGTACACACCTGGGAAAAAAGGAGGTCGGAAGCACGTCATCGGAGCACAAGACCTCGTCTTCGAGTCACCGCTGGGACCGAATTCAACCTTCGGCGTGGTCGCCAGCGCCGCTAGCTCAGGTTTTGTCGCGTCGATGCCTTCATCCAGGAATTAGAGCCCAGCTTGCCAAACGCCACGAGCTTGACGCCCGGAAAGACGCGGAAGACTCAGGAGAAGACCTCCAGGGTCAAAGGACGTACCTGACCTGTACAAGAAGAAGGTGGGCTGGGTGGCATCGATGGCGACGGAGACCGGTCCGACGTTGGCTACGGCGTCTTTGAGGGCTCCTTCGTCGGCGTACGGGAGCTCGACGTACTTGGAGCAAGTGGCGGCTCGCGCGGAAGCGTTGTATTGACAGGTCCCGTTCTGGTAGGAAGAAGGGGAAGTTGAGAAGAGGCGCGCGAAGAATCCCCCAGGAACGTCTCAAGACTTCCAGGTACGTGTTTTCTGTCAGCCCTCTCTCACCCTGCGCTACCCCCGTCCTCCCCTTTCTTTGGCCACCATTTTCCTACAGGCAGGGTTACGGCACAGATGGCCAGGAGGGCCGGAGGAGACCATCTTCTTCCTCTCACTTCCCCACTCCAGGAGCAGCCAAACCATTTCTACAGAATTCTCCGCCTTTTTTCTAGAAACCTCCGGTGACGACACTTCTGCCACTTCCCCAGAGAAACCATCCTCGCTCCCTCGTCCTTCAGCTCCTCCTCATCTTCCACCTAAATTTCCCCCACTGTAAACGAAGCCCACGGCTTCTCGCTCTCCCTCCGGGCAGGGAGAACGCCGTCTTTTGTCTCCGTAGCTGCCTCGTGCGTGTTCGAAGACGCGCTCCACTTGACTGAGCTGCCGTTGCTCCAACCTGGCCCCAGGTTTTCAAGACACCGGCTCGTTTCAGGGCACCTCTCGTTTCTGGCCGGCGAGACTCTCGGCATTAGGACCTTTATTTTCTTACGGCTCTTTCCTCGCGACCTTGCGGCAGCCGCAGCGCATCTGCTACGGGCAACGCGCAGGAACAACCGCACGAAGGTTGTAGAAGGGTGGAAACACCAACGCCCCATCTTAAAACTACGGAAGGCGGAATAACACAGGGAGCCGAGAGCAGGACCCATTTTTCCCTTCCGCGTAGCGCGTTGCCCAATAACTTATGTAGGGCAGAAATAACCACGCCGAAATTCTGGCTCCCGGTCCAGTCATTCACCCGCGAGGAAAACACCAGCCTACAGGTCCCTTGCCCGGCTCTGAAGGAACCGGCCGCCAAGGCGACGACGCGAGACCGGCGGAAACCGAGACGGAGGGAAATCGGGCCCATTTTTCCCTTCCGCGTAGCGCGTTGCCCAATAACTTATGTAGGGCAGAAATAACCACGCCGAAATTCTGGCTCCCGGTCCAGTCATTCACCCGCGAGGAAAACACCAGCCTACAGGTCCCTTGCCCGGCTCTGAAGGAACCGGCCGCCAAGGCGACGACGCGAGACCGGCGGAAACCGAGACGGAGGGAAATCGGGGGGTGGGAGGAGGAGAAAGGGGCGGACGCGGGAGAGCGGGACC